CAAACCCAACGCCAATCGAACCTGAAATGCTTACTTGTCGCTAAATGGACCAAGTCCTGTGACTTGGTTCTGCTGCCCTCTGCCGTTTGCCTGAGGAAACAAACACCTGGAAGCCACTGGTTGAATTTAAGCACCTGCCAAAGCCCCTTCATTAATTGGTCCATTCATTAATTGGAAGCTGTTGTGGCTTATTAAAACTCATGCAGTTAAATCAATTTCAAGTAAGACTTAATCGCCACTGAATTTCTAGTTTGTTGGAGGGAATGCAATTATTTGCATCGAAAATATTAGAGAGGATAAACAGCAAGACGTGGAAGTTTAAAAAAAAGTATTCAAATACATTAAGCGGCAAAGGAATCTGAAACCATTTCCCTGAGCATTAAACAGTGAGTTGCAAGAAAGGAGCCTTTCAGCACTAAACCAGAATTAAATTTGATTGGATTTAAAACTACAAATGACAACAGTGTAAATAAACAATATATTCTGTTGGACTGTAGATTTGCAATGAGTAATGTCTGCAGTAAGGACCGGGCAGAACAGTAATTCTGAAAACAGAAGTGGAAAGAATGATTCGAGTCAGCAACACGTGGAACATATACAACATTTCACTCACAAAATACACACTTTACAGTATATCCTGTGAAGCGCTTTGAGAGTTCTTGACAACTTGAAAGGTGCGATATCAAACGCAAGGATTATTACAGTGCAAAGCATTCGTACTAAGAAGGAGGATAAATCTTCTGTTGGCAAGTCCAACAAACTTTATTAGTTTCACTTTGAAAACATTTAAGTTCAAGCTCATGAAAACCACAGGTTTGACATTTACAACATTTTACTTGTTGGAAAAAAGTTTTAAAACACGTTATAAACCCACTTAAGAGTTACAGCAACTTTAGCAAAAATAAAAGGAGCAATCATAAGTCACAGGATTTTTCTTAAAAAATAAAAATTGCTGTTTTGGAAACAGACTTCACAATATTATGCTACTACTACAACAGTAAAATTACTAGTTTTAAGTTACATACAAGTAATAAATGAAGCAGTATGTTACACAATAAAGTCTTCGAAATGGTTAAAAAGTGCATTAAAAGGCAAATTACATTTTACCATTCAATGTACATTGCTCGTGCAAGAGATATTGGTTTGTGGATATATCTTTCTACAAATAATACATTTTAGTTAAAACACAGGATTGTCTTACTAACACAACAGGATAACTGGTTTCACAATATAACTAAAAAGATTATACCAGACTAAAAAAAAAAGTTCACTTGCCAGCATTTTCCGAATTATGTCAGACGTGTCCAGTCACATCTAAGCGAATGTGTTAAAATTGTAATGATTTATGTTATTTAACTTGTAGAAAAACTGATAAATCGAGGGGACTTTTCTTATTTAAAAGAAACAGGTTTTCTCTAAGTAAAAATAAATTCTGTTTAGACTCAGGATACACTATAAAGGGCGGTTCATGAAAATGGGCAGTTAGAGACATACCCAAATACGGTATTTGTATTTTCAGCAGAAGCTGGGATAGTGCCTTTTGCAAGTATTCCTCTTCTAAACTATGATGTAAATAACCTTTTCGGTGTTGTACTTGGCATTAAGGAGTTGGGTTTCATTTCTTTACTCGCTTAAACCAGCTGGTTTCACGTTCAAAACAGAATCCCACCACCAAAACATACTGTCGTTATCCAAAACGAACTTTAGATTTAGTTTAGTTCCATTTGAAAAAGAATGCCGAATGAACACTACATTTGATCAGTCAAAAGACCAAATGTTGGGAGAAAATGCATCTAAACAGGTGGAAACACCCCCACAGTTATTTTTTGCCAACATCTGTTTTGCCGATTTGCATTAACCCTGATTACAAAATAATGATTATTCATTCGAAATGTATTATTAGCAAAAATGCTCGTTAAAAGTTCAAACGTCCAGAGGTACGAGAGACGGCATACTAGCAAGAGAAGAGAGATTAAGAATTACATGAAGAGTACAGCACTCCCAGGTTAAATGTGTAGTACTGCTTAGGAAATTCACAGCTAATATATTACAATCACCACAAAGTCCAAGTCGATGTTAAATTTTACACTGTCTCTCCAGAATTCACATTTTCAAGGTTTGCAATGGATGATGTGTGCTTTCCAAGCTACAAGACATACATGCTCTGCTGGACACCCACTCATTCTAAGCAATTAAAACAAGTTTGTGCTTCTGAAAACAATTCAAACTAGTTGCAAATCCACTGTTCAGGCTACCGAATCTTCTCACTGTCCGGCAGACCTGACTGGATTCAGTGGTACCCCGAACTAAGCGGAGAATATCTTGTTATCAGCAGATGGTTTGAGGTTCTATCCATCGGGGACTTTATAAACCCTGTCAGCACCCACTCAAAGAGTGCACATCGAGTCCATGATATAGCACCATATATCTCCCATCCCACCTTCCAAGCTATAGCTAAGTATTTTTTTATAATTAAAAATCGGGTCTAATTACAACTAATTACTATTTTACTCGAGATATCTGTAATTTGAGATTTCTGTGTTTGGAGGGGAGAACTTATATCTGGCTGGTTGCAGGATCTGGCTCAGTTTCTACAGTACAATTTGGGGTCTTGTGTCAATATATTTAAAGTCAAACATTTATAGATGTTTAACCAAATGAACTTGAGAAAATCTGATCGAAGTGTCCTTACGTGAGTATATTATTTGAATGACTTGTTTGATCATACATCAGATTTTGATTTAACCCTAAGTTCACTTGCCTAGTCTCAAGGCCATTGACACTTCCAAGCAGCATTCATGTCAATTATTAATAAGGTTTTGTTTGGCTTGGGCCAGTTTTGGGCTAATGAACGACTATTTTAGCACTATTTTAAAAAAAAAATTGTTTCTCTCGTCTTCCTGAAATGGACAATGGGGAAGAATGAACGGTGGAGGCTCAGAACGAACAGTCAATGGCATATTTTGGAAATTTAAAACTGGTAAGAAAAAATAAAAATTCGGAAGAAATCAAAAGGAAAGAGTGAGAGAGAGAGTTCACTTTTTGGGATTTATTTTAGTGGATTAGCGTCAATATTTCTGGAATAAAGCTAGTGATGCTGGAGTCAGTTCATTACTGTTAATTGTATTTTTTTCCAGTGTCGAGTAGGTGCTGAAAATGCATAATAATTGGCTTAGACCATAAATCTGTCGAGACCTGCCAGCAGTTTAAGGTTCAATTACCTATAAATTGAAGCAAAAATGTAAAAATATAGGTGTGAGAGTCCCTCACTGGGCAATGGTTCAGTGGTCGACAGTTTCTAGAACCATCTGTGCTCCAACAACCTGAACAATAAAGGCCTTTTGTAGAGAAGTCCAATTGGTGTCATTTGGGTTTTATTCATGAATAAAAGTGATTCCACTGCAATAAAAATAATCCAGAACAAGCGCTTAGAAGTATTCAGATTACGCAAAGGGTTGAAACCCAATCACAAGAACAGTTACATTTTGCATCCATTTATTGCCATAATATTTCCGCTGCAAGTTCTGGTATTCTAGTGCAAATCGCGTTATCAGTGAAAAGAGCATTTTTCAAATTAGATTGCGAAGTAGAATCCCATTCACAGGATTACCGGGAATGTATTATTTGGGGGGATTCCAATTGCCAAGACCAGTAACGCTTTGAGACGTCTCAACGACGTGATAAGGCGCTATATATCAAATGCAAGGATTATTATAAGTATCAGAGGCAAGATCAAGGTAGAACAAGAATTAAACATTGAGGGTTTTTCATGAGAAGGTAGGCCCTGTGTAAGGTACTTAATATTTTTTTCGAGGAATTTTTCCAGGATTTTTTTGTTAAATATACATTGTTTGTTCATTTAGTTCAAGTGATGTCAGTGTCAGTGGCAAGCAAGTTACTGTTTAGCACTCAATTACAGTAATGCACAGAAAGAAAGGCAACAACTTCCGGAGTCTAAAAGATATCACCTAAGATTTGAGCCCATCAATCCCAAATGCCCTTATTTGATGCTACGTTAAACGAAACGCCTGTTAGAGAGAGGAATGTTCTTGAATCCGAATAGTGTTTTTTTTTAAAAAAAAGCTGCAGTTTTCACCAACTAATTAAAATGTAAAGCAACACTAAAGTCACTGCTTTAGGCTAGTTTTATTCTTTCTTGAAGACTGCAATACATTTCTGCACCTTGGTGAAAAAAGTTTAGAATATTTCAGCAGTAAACCGATGTTCTTCCCATTCTGAGTATCAGAATGATGTGCCGCTTTGTTAATCTAAGGATCTTTAATCCTCAAGTGGATAGAGATTTTGATATGTTTACAGTCAAATTATAATTGCTTAAAATTGTTTAAAAATCTGCTGAGCCGCTGTATCAAAACGTTTCCAGTTTAAAACCGAACAAAAGGTCCCTTACCCCAATTTCAGGACGAGAAATTATTTTAAATTGGGGGAAAATAAACAACACTAGGAAAACCTCAGGAATGATTGCATAACATGCATTTTCTTCATTAAATTAAAAACAAATAGCGTTGCAGGCTCGTGTGACGTATAGTAAAACGTTTAGTTAAAGAGTGGCGATGGAAACATGCACCCGCCAGGACAGAAATATTCTCAGATCTACGTTTAGGAACAGTTTCCAATCCAGAAATCAGGTGAGTTATTTCCAGAGATAATCAGGTTTACTTAGTAGTTAACTATCAGAGTTGCCTGGTTTTCTGAGTGGATTTGGTGCATTTTCCTCCAATATTTACATGAACTTTTCTTTTGCATTATCTTTTCCCCATATCACAGGAAACGCACCCCATTATATTCAGTTTAAAAGTGGTTAAAGGTATTACAACAATGGAAAACTTAGAACAAGACTGTAGGCTTTACTATAAATTTAGAAAATCCCTATAAGTCTTCACATTTCTAGTAGTAATAGTTCTAGGGATGTCATGAAACATCAACAGTATCACAACTGATTGGCAGGTTGGCTTCCCTTCCAGATAAATAAGACTGTTCATCTGAATCATATTTTTATTAAACTACAATGATTATTGCATTTTACAATTATTACAATAGGTGAAAAACAGCCAATACAATTGTCATGTGGTTTCTTTCTCACTATGATATACTGGTACAGATATATCCTGACATCCCTATTATAATCTAGGAATGAACAAAATTTTGAACCGAAACAAACTGAATGTCGGAACTGTGGCAATGGGTAGGAAAATCCGTATCACAATTTACTTCAGCAGAATTTGTTCATTCCAGTGGTAGTCTGCCTATTACTGAACAGCTGTACAACAACCGATAAGAGTAATACAGTTCTCCTTACGTTAGTAACTGTATTGTTAGTGGCATTAGACATGCAAAAGTGGTTCCAGTTCCCTCCCTCCTCCCACCCCCATCCTCTGCAGGCTACTTGGTCACTGTTGGGTTTCAGGCCTGTTTGTGGCGAGGTATTTGGCTCTCATGCTGTTCGAGTACTGTAGGAAAAGGAAGAGAACAGATTAATAATAAATATGCACTATTATTTAATAAGCTTTATTCTTTATTCATACACAAAATAACTTCCAATCTCCTTTTGACATGTTTGCGATTGCATTAATCAAAGCACACAATTTCCAGTCAGATATAAAACTATTCTTCTTCTCCCCTTGCACCCCCCTACCCCCGCCTCAAAATTGGATTGATCTTATTGGTTCTGTAGACTTAAAGCATCCAAAGTAATTTATCTAAAAGATAAAATCACCTTTTGTAGACCCTCTACAACATAATCTAACATATTTGGAGTTGCTGATCGATGCAACCAATGGGCCTGAGGGTTTGAACAAAATGCCTTTATTTGGAAGAAACAAATGTTTGGTATCTCCTTAAAAGGGGAGAAGATTAAATGCAAAAGTAGAGTGGTTACAGAAACAGGAAATTAAAAGTGGAGGTGGAGGTTTAAAAAAAAGGTTGGTTAGTTTCATGCAAAGAGGAAGATGCCACTAGAATAAAATAAAATGACCTTGGATTGTACTCTTGACCGACTGATAACGAGCCTAGCACTTGCTGTAGCCCAGCGCCTTGGGATGTCCTCCCGACGTGAAAGATGCTATACAAATGTAACTTGTTGTTGTTGCTTCTCCAATCCTAATAGAGGCTTTAACCATTAATGGTGGAAGATAGCCAATATCATTGTAGCACATTATTTTTGCATAGAGGAAGGGGGGGAAATTGTAAGCATACATACGGAAAATTAAACATTTTTTTCCGATTCAAACAAGTGCAAAGTGTATATTAAGGCCAGTCAACAGATTAGCCGATTTTGATCCAATTATTGAAGTTTGGAATTTTGGCCATCAGCAGTTTCAAATAAAATTTGAAATGTCTAAAAATATGAGGAAAAGACCACAGCAGCACATTTTCTGAAAATAATTTTAAACTGAAGAAGCCAAAAAATAGACACAAGGTGAATGGTATCAAATAAGTGGTGTCATATGCATCGGAAGAGAAGCCTAACACAATTTCTATATACGTTCAATTTGACCGAGGTGACAGGATCATTAGGAGGGATATTTTGATCGAAAAACAATTAGCTGCCACGTTTCACTCACAAAACAGTCTCTACACTTTACAGTATGTTAAATGCAAGTATTATCATTATTAAATGTGGATGTTACTGTTTGCTCTAAGCAAAAGCTTCATTTTGTTTGAATTCACGTTCAATACTCAAAACATAAATCAAAAACACAACACTTGCAGTACTGTTGGACAATCACTGAGGAATTTTAATGAGATTACCTGTGTCAGCAATGAGATTACCTGTGTTCTTTCTAAATATTAAACTTTATAGTTATAATGCAATAAAGGCAGTAGAATAAGTGAGTGCAGAATAAATTAAATCAATTCAAAGAGCAAAATGCTTCTGCATTATAACCAGTACCAACAGATCACATTAATTTCTCAAGCACAGGCAATTTGAAAGTCTAAATGAGATCATCTGTTTAGTGATTGGAGTAATTTGCCAGTCCCAGAAGCCATTCGGTATTTTCTTGCTGAATATTCCCAATGGGCCTCTCTCTCCCCCATTCCCTACCCCCATCCCAACACGAAAAGGGACCAATACAATTTGCATTTATCTTTTGATCAGTTACACAGGGTTCAGCAGGATAAAAATTCAAAACGTTCAGAATACATGAAACCAGTGATAGTCTTTTGCAGACATGTTGAACTACAGATTTAAAAAAACAATTCTACCAAACAGTGTACTTTTGGCATTACAGAGGTAAAGATCTTTTGGAGATGTACAGACTTAGCACCATCTCTCTTGGACTCTGATCTTCACAGCAGTTATGTTCTCGACCAGCACCTCTGGAAGTAGCTCCGAGCAGATCTGTTGTCTGTCCTCAATCCCTACAGGTGCATCTCAAGAATTTCAGTGTCGCAACAGGATCAACTTTGTTGATTAAGATGGCTTTCCCCGTCAGCCTGACTATTCTTCATCAGCATTGCCGTCTAGAATGGCAGTTGTATGCCTTAATCTGATTAGTCACTCAATAGGATCTATCATAGATAACCGAAAGCAGGATGCATTCAATAGCACTACTGCCATCCAATTCGGAGTGGGAACCTCCATCCCCGTGAAGCGCTTCAAGACGTTACCCTACTTGAAAGGCACTAATTAATTGTAAGTTGTTGTAGATATACATTTAGGTAAATTTTTTAATTTTCTCAAGTTGCTAATACTGTAGCTTGAAAAATAGGAAGGTAGAGGAAAGTCCTTAAGCAGCCAACTTACCCCACATACCATTCATTCAACACCCTTTCACAAGAAAGGTTATGAATTATCCAACAGTCCAGCTGCCATTTTCAGTAAACAATTACAGTAAATGAAGGGCCAAACTGTTCAGCTCTTAGATTTTTCTGTTTTGTTTGTTTTCTGTTTTACCTGTAGGTCCAGCTTACAATGGTGAAATCACAAATTGACATTAAAAAGCTCATAAAAAGCTTTGAAATTTCATCTTCAAATATGTTATAGTTTAATTAAAGTGCACAGATAATTTGTCCTAATGTGAAAAACAATTAGTAGGAATATTTCAGAATTAAAACAGTAAAGGCCCAACACTTTGTAAAGGTTCTTACAAAAGTGTAACCAGACAGTAATTTATCCAGGAAATGTTTGTTGGATTGAAGAGCATCATTTAGAACCAAGTGGATTCTCCCTAGACAGATGAGATTGCACTGTATTTAAACTGCCTCGCACAGGATCTGAAATTGCACTGGTTGGCTTGAAACCTTGTGTTAATTGGATTCTACCAAATGTCTCAAACTGACTCTGTAGTTTGAACTGATTAAAAATCTGCTTTGGGGTTTATAAACAAGAAACATAAAGCAGGATCCCATTTCTGTTTTGTTCCAAGTGAACTCCAGGATTCACCACCAACTCTATAAAAATCTGGTTACGGTGACTCCGAGCTCGGCAAACACCGAAAATTCTGAAAGAAACCTAATTTAGGACTTCGAGTTTGATCTGAGTAACTGAATCTTTGGAGAAGTATAAAATTAAACTTTGTTGAACTATGTTCAATTGCTTGCCTCTAGTGTTTCCTGAAAATGTTTCCTGTAAATAAAACATACTATTACTTTAGTACACAATCTATCTACCAATCCACGGCACACTACGAACATAGAAACAGGATTAGGCTGTTCAGTCCCTCGAGCCTGTCCGTCATTCTAATCAATCATGTCTGATACCTGCCTTATGAGACAAGGCAGCGCAGGTTATTTGTACTTCTGGCAGCAGTAATGCCTTATTTCCAGTATCACAAATCTTCTGAGAAGTTAGAGCACAGATATAGAACAAGATTCCAGATCACAGGGGGAAAAAAGGTCCACTTACGGGATCAGCGGAATATTAAACGCCTGTGTTAAAGACTAAACAGTGTTTAAACTCAAAATGTAACCAGAACAAAAAAAACTACAGCTTTAATCTCGCACCCACAAGGATGCTGAACAGAAAACAATTTCTGTACTGTACTCATATTATACAACTAAAATACAGGAAAATATCCTCCTCAAGTTATCTTATTACAGTAAAATATAAATGTAGATTCATGGTAGGAATTTGACCGCTGCTGATTTTGCAGTTGAATACTTGCAAACCAGAAGTTGCAATAAAGGCAACAATATAGTCTGTAAATATTGCAAACTGGACCAATATTCTCACTGATGAAGAAAATATCAGAAAAATGCAATGGCATGACTTATTGTATAAAAGAGTATGTTTAATAATAAGATACATGGTAATTAGTGATCAAAAGGACATTGTCGGAACTAATTGAAATACTATGAATTTCAGCACAGCATTTATCTGAGGAAATCTAAAGCATTGCTAATGGAAGATGATCTTTAAAATGTTCTGAATTTGTAATACAGCTTCAAAAATATACATCTATTTTCCATCATAAAATAGCAGTAAATATGATGTTTCATGCCATAAAACCATAAAACTCAGAAAACCGTATGGAAGCACAGAAGGTTTCAGAGCATTCTTTGAGGAAGCTGAAAAATCAAATAAAATATCGCTTTATTCTGGTGCGAAAAGGTGACTGTAGTGCTCAAAGTGTCAAAGCCATGCCCATCGAAAAGGGTGATGTGTTCAGCTGGATGCATTTATCTGAGGACTGAATGCAACAGATAATAGGGATGTCACAATTATTGTACTTTCAAAAATATGCCATCTTTTTAAAATCCAGCCTTAAGGTAAAATAGCAGAAATGCCATTCATCTAATTTTTTCCGAAAATTCATGTGAAAAGGCTAGTAATTGTAACACTTTTTCTTTAGGGCTTATTACAACAAATATTGAAGTTAGGTTGAAAACATTTTAGAAGTTAAGGTGGTTCAAAACATCAAAAAGACAAAGCTTTGACAATTGCATTACACTGATTTGGCCACTTCTCAAACTATATACTTATTTCAGTGACAGAATAAAGTACTTCAGTCAGTGCAACTAAATAGCAAATCCCAGATTAGGATCAAGTTAATTATGGTTCTTTGAGAGGATTTATATATCGTACATTGCCTTGTGACATCCCTGGTAGAAAATGGAACGCCATTTTTCTATGCTAGAATAGTGCAATATTCAGGTAATTTGCTATTTAACATGGTGCAGGATTTAGGGGGCTTGAAGCAGTGAAGAGAATATGACACATTAGTGTTTATTTAGCATATACATTCATGGAATAAGAAATAGCATGGAATGGAGTTTAATGCCATGTTCTGGTGGCAATTCAAAATGCTGTGCTGTTTAAGAGGATAGTGTCTATTTTAGGAAATCAGACAGTGGGGAAAGGGTTTCTTACTCAGAAATACTGTGCTCTTTAGCAGGAGTGAATCTTTAAGAAACTTAAAGCATTAGGGAATGGGATATAAAGCCATGTTTCAGTACCTGTTCTGGTTTGCTGCCTTCTTTACCAGTAAGAATTCGTTCTCGCACTGTCGCAGGTCTTTGGCTGCCAGCTCAGATGACTGCCACTGTCCAAAGCAGCCAAATACAGCTGTGGCATTGCAAGAGAGAGAAATAGAGTGCAGCCTCAAAGAGAAATCCAGTGCAAGCAAGTGTAAAGGGGAGCACAACCCACAAAAACACCCAGGGACAATCCCAGGACAGAAGGAGGGAACACAGGAACAATTAGGAGCAACACAATCTCTAGAAATATTTTGATATAGCACAATGTACAGCATTAAACACTCATCATACTAAACCCACCCACTTTCGAATATAATTTTTTATTTACGCTGATTTGTTAACATTATAAAGTGTATGACTTGTAAATGACTAATGAAACAGAGTTTAACCCTTTGAGGACTGCAGAATTATGCACCACAGCCAAAAATAATTCAAGTTTAAACATTTCAGTTTGATTAACAAAAATGCACCAAAAAATTAGTTATTTATTTTCTGTACATTCAATTTTTATTTTCAAGATTGCAAAATAATGAAGGGAACAGCTTTTGTTTCTTTCAAATGTAGACCCCATCCACAAAGGTAACAGTTTTTGTTGCTGAAAATGTTCAGTGATAGAAGCACGGTTTTGTGCTACCGTCTTTTCAAATATCTGCTCATAATCTTACTATTTATATTAAACCAGAGTCCTTTTCACCATATTAAAATGCACAAAGAATTTTGTTCAAAAGCAATAACATTCAGTCTGTAGAAACCAAAGGTACCTCAAACTGACCCAGGTTTGGGTGTTTAAAGGGGATAATTATGGCTTCTTTCTACACATTACTTGCAACTGGATATTTTTTTAAACCCACCAGGATCCTTTCATACTTGTAGGTACAGAATATTTTCTTCACATTGACCTGCACAGGCTCATGATTCACGCACAATGCTATTAGCCTTTTTTTTTAAAGTAAGGTAACGTCACAGTGTGGGAAGCAAACTGCTGATTTAACTTAAGAGGCTGCATAATAGAGTCCCAACGTTCCCCAGTAACACATTTTACTCGTGCCTTGTACTGAGCAAAATAAAAAGCTTTAAAGGTAACCATGACATTCCCCACAGGCAGTAAACGTCGCCCAGCAGTGCCTTCCCCTGCTTTTTCAAGCGATTCACGATCAACACACAGAGAGCCACAGAGGCACTTACTGGAAGTCATTTCAACAAACGTATGACAGCTCAATTGAAGGCTTATGTAATACACAGTATCTATGACTCACAGCGAGTTCCGGGAAATCGTGCAAGATATGGACAGAAACAATAAGATGGGTGCAAAGTGAAAAATAAGAATGATAGGCAGAGATAACAGAAAAAAAGTAGAGATTGAACAAAAGTCTAAAACAAACTGGAAGATGGATAAGAAAATCAATTACAAAATGTTAAAATAATAAAAGTGCCTTAAAAATGCAAAGTTGTGCAAATCCGAGTCAGAAAGATGGATTTTGGTTCCCACATTGTCAGGTTGACCCATTACAAAATGCAAGGAAAACACAATACAGCAGCTCTTCAATAAAGACATTCAAAACAAAGTTTAACCTTTTACCACCATGTGGTTATCTCAAAATTACTTTTCTTTCGGATAGCAAAGTGGACTGACAGCAAATGGTTTAAACATTTCTCAATCTTTCATTGTTTTATGGCTTGTTTCATACGTTTATTTTAGTTGGTTAGCCCGTTAAAATAATTTTATGTTCTTTAAAATAAAGCTGACGTCTGAAGGAAATTGCGTTACATGTTACAACAAAGTTGACAACAACGGCACATCAAGAATGATTCTTCAGGAATCATATTCTGCGAACAAAACACCAACAATAAGAAGAAATCCAGTTACATTGTTTAGAAGCTATTCCTTGAATTTAGAAAGGTTTCCCTTTGAGTATAACTCAACAACTTGAGTCCCTCAGCTCAAAACTAACAACAGTAGTCCTGGAATGAGGGGTGATAGCTATGCATTTCAGTATTTAAAAAAAACTCTTTATTTAATTATCCCAGAGAGGTGCAAATGGCTTCTGAGCTGAAGACATCTTGTTGCCTTGAATTTAACCATTAGAATGGTGCTAAATACTTCACTGTACTCAAAGGATTAAATAAGATTAAATGCATATAGTATTTAATGTCTCAGTACACAGCAGACTTAAAACAGAAACGGAATCTATATCAAAATAAAACAACACTTACCAGCATACACTAGACCCCTCCATAAAGAGGTCATTTGGAGTCATACAAAGAGTTCTTTGTAGTGAGGTGTGTGATGAAGACAGTTTTACGTGGATCTTCTATAGAAGGGGACCATACATTATATCAAGATTATGGTGGACCAGAAACTGTGTCTGTACAGCAAAACTCTGGTAGTTAAGATTTGTGTTTGTTCTAATACTGTTGCTTCTAAAATAGTATTTGTTATGAGAATGGTACTCATTTGGTTCTCCCTTAGAGATGATGCTGTCAGTGCTGGCAGATTATCCTCTGCCAGCACAGTTTGGTGATGTGTTCCAACATAAACGATCCCTTCACCAGAAGACAATATCACCAAGGTCTTCAAAAATCTGAGGGTATGCATGAATTTCCCAGCAGCAGGACAAGCAAACGCAAACTCATAGCCGCCAGCTAACTGACGTCCTCATTTGAGAAAAACATTTCAGATATAATGACCCTTACTGATCATGACCACAACAACACAAACATATTGTTTTCCAAAAGAGATGCGTGTATTGTAGTCAAATCAACGTTCTGCATAAAAACAAACACTAAAAAGCTTTAACTTACAGAAGGGGGAGGAGATTCTCTGCCAATCAGAGGTGTATTCTCACAACGAGGGTTCTGATAAGTTGTATTCTGGCTCCTGTGTAATTAAGAGGGAGAAACTTTAAGATTAGTGTGAGTCTTTGGAAGATGGTGCTACTGGGACAGCTTTAGATCAAAACAGAACTCTAACTCCTTAGCTAAACATTTTATTAAACTACATGAATTACTAAATTAAGCCAGTTAACAGCATACAATCCTGGGGATGAAATTAAGCAGATTTTTTTTTACTGCTCACGTACCTAAATTAGGCTTCAATCTCCATTCAGTTAAAAAGATGTTGGATCCATTCACATTTTCAAGACTGAGGTGAATAGATATTTGTTAGGTCAGAGTATCAAGGGACATGGGGCAAGGACGGGTAATTGGGAGTTGAGGTACAGATCAGCCATGATCTTATACAATGACAGAACAGGCTTGAGGGGCTGAATGGCCTCCTACTATTTCTATGATTATTTGAGGCTCATTGTCTACACATCAGTATATCATAACTAAATGCACATTATTGAATACTCCTCCCATAACATTTCTAAAAGCTTTGATTTTTAGACTTGTTTTTGGTTGGTCATATATTGCCTGTATGAAGAAGGGGAAAAAAAAAACAAATGAAGAATGTGTTGCTGTTGCTTACATGTACTCCGTGACAGGGGCATTGCTGACTGTGTGAGCTGCAGCAGGGATACTGGTTTCACTGCCAAAACTGCTCCCACAGCTGTACAGACTGGGCATGTGCACTCTGTACAGATTATCATGCTGTTGGCGGCTTCCCTGTGCATTCCCAATTTCTTCATCTCCATCGACATCACCGTGACCCCTTCACAAATGGGGGAAAAACAGGCATCATTAGGATTAGCTGTAGAACTCTTAGTTACGCAAATGCATTCTGCTTCTGCCACTTGCTGATTTAGCAAAGGGCTGAGACCATAATGAAACACCTTGATCGGTAAATCTGCTGTTCACCTTGACCAAAAATCGTGGTGCTGCTGGAATACTAGCATAGAGCGGTCTAGGTGGTGCTGTGTTAATATAAGGTGAGCTAATGATTTAACATTCCCCATGGGGCTCAGGGGACTATTTCTACTGTGAGAACATTTCCCCCACTATTTCATGCATCCACTATCATTTAGAAACTATGAAGTAGTATCAGCAGAGAGATCCTAAGGTCCCCAATTCTATTCCAAGTGAAAGTGTGCAAAATGAGGAAACATAATAAAAAGAGGAAACAGACAAAAAGTAAACAGTCAGGTTTATTTACATGTGTTTTTTCCCCAGCTGGCGCTCCCAACATGTTGCACTGATTTTAAAAAAGCAAATAGTTGTACTGAGGAATTAAAAAATTGTGAAAACTGTAAAAAAACACTAAAATCGTTAACAGAAATGGACAAAAAGCAGTGACAATTAGCAGCCACTGGAGGGCAGTGCAGCATTACTGTAACCGTGCACTATGGTTTGCATTAGATTCTTTTATTTTGCACAATCTGTCCACACCTTTGTAATTAGAACACGTTTAAGATTGTGTTTCTGAAGCAAAGGTCTCGAAAACCTTATTCAACTGCCTGATATTCCAGGAAAATTAAAAACAACCTTGCACCAGTTGGACTGGTTTTCACCCGACTTTACAGTCATTTAAAATCCAGCTTGATGCAATGCTGGGAGTACAGTAGGGTGGGTATACTGGAGGGGTGAGATCAGATGGGCCAAAGTGTCTTCTTCATCCAAATCAATCTTATGAGTAACTGCTGGAACGCAATCAAGAGGGAGAAAAACTGATTATCTCCGCTCCTCCTTCTCTATAACCTGGGCAGAGGAGAAAATAGCAGCTCCCTCCCTTCTGCCTAGTTTAGCTATTTCAGTTTCACACCAGGCAGTGAATTTGTGCTGTCAGCAGAGCAATTGTATTTTATGCTGCTTGCAACAGAATGAGTCATGCATTAACTTTACAGAATAAAACAATGCTTAATGTGAGGTTCAATTTTATTTTATTGTGGAGTCCTGTAGCTCAGTGGTTAGAGCATCGCCTTACAAGTGAGAGAACCTGGGTTAGATTCCAAGGCAGGGCCAAACGTTGAGCAAGTTTTCTTACTCCACACACACACCTCTGTTTAGCTGTAAGTAGAAACCCGGCTGTTAGTCGATTGGCGGATCGCTTTTCTGTAGGTAATGATCCCTTAAAAAAATATAATAATTTGGTAACTCAATCCACGATTGTTTGTAGAACACTGTTATTCGCAATTGGCTGCCACGTTTCGCCCACAAAACATAGTCAATTCAGTTTACAGTATATTCTGTGAAGCGCTTTGAGACTTTTCGAAGACTATATCAAATGCAAGGATTCGTTGTTTTTTTTATTTACCTTTTGCTGTGTTGCCAGGTATGAGGAACACTGCACACAATCGAACTGAACATCAGTGCAGTTACGAAGGAGAACAGAACCAAATATATTAGACCCTCCACGCCATCATAGCACAATCCTGTCAGAGCCTGCACATAATCCTGTGAAAGTGGGAACAACATTTAAGAATACTGTACAGAATTATTAGCAAGACACCACGGAACATAAAAGCAAATGAGAGAATCGGCAAAAAGACCAAAGTAAAAGAATGTGCAAAGGGTGAAAGCAATTAAATGTGGATGGACATTTGTAGCAGAAAAACAATTGAAAATGAGGAAAAAAGGAAAGGAAAAGAGCAAGAATAAATATGAAATGGATTTAATTAAACATAAAACATAGCGATGATTATCAGGAATGTTATTGAAAGGTTAGCTGTTGTGGAATATGACCAGTACAGAATCCTAAAATTGGAAGTTATTCCCTTGTGTCTTTTCACTAATACATACTCTAGAGATGGTGGGAGTTCCCTTCCTTTTCTTTGACATAGTGAATGGTGACAGCTATGACATTCGTACACTTGATGCACAAGTGAGGTTAATTAGGACTGAAGCCTTGTGCGTTGTGGAGTGATAATCTATAGTTCATTGTCAGAAAATAGGTCAGTGTGGATAGAACTGCTCTCATCAGATTTCCAAACTATTCCAACTCAGATTGAAACTGGTCAACCTCAGATTGAACCATTTAACCCTATGAAGATTGCAGTGACATTTTATCAAGAATATCAAACAAAGACATACATTTTGCTATTGCCACACCCTCACCAATAAAGTCAGTTTAAAAAATGATTTATTCCTACGTACATCAAATTCACTCTGGTCTCTGGGCACCTCAAACTAAAAGCATCGCCCTAACTCAGTGGTGGCCAACCTTTATGGTCAGCCAGCAAAATTAATTTTCTTCATTGAACATTTCTTAAATCAAATATTCAATCAAGAAAAAAACTGAAACCACACTACCTATACACAGTCACTACACTTTACAGTATATTCTTTGAAGTGCTTTGAGATGTCTCAACGATGTGATAAGATGCCATATTAAATGCAAGAATTAAATTATTATTACCTAGACTTATGTGACTGTTCGGAGCGTGGGGGGGGGGGGGGGGGCAGTTCTTCACATTCCCATGGGCCAGAAGTGACCACAGGTTGGCCATCATTGTCCTAACTAGTACTACGGACAAACCCCAAAATTTAATTCCTGATAGTTTCTATATCACTTTACCTCAGCTACCTGGCCCCTGATAGTTACTGACATAACTTTAAGATTAAGGAATACATATCATTTTCAGCAGTAAAGAGAGGGATGATGTGAGAGAAAAAAAAATAACGCACTGTGTTTTGGTAATTATATTATTCAAGAGTAGAATGAAAATATTGCTAGTTCATTACATTGCCAATTCAATCATAAAAGTTCCTAAATGCATCTCTGATTAATTGCAATATACAGAAATGCTGATTGAAGTAAACCTGGAATGTGGCTACTAGAATTTTGCTTTAAACAGAAGCAGACGCTGAGACGCCACCCGGCGTAGAGGGCACTATATAAACCCAAGTTGTTGTTGTTGTTGTTGTAGTAGTAAACAGGCATTTTTTTAAAAAAAGCCTCCTCATTTGAAGAATTGTGCAGTGGTTTCTAAAAATCTGTCTACCAAACACAGTTACTTGAAGTCACATATTGGGAAGGTTGTTCCTTCTCCATAAGCAGAAAAGAAAGTGTAAAATCAGTCAAGAATAACATTAGAAGCAAGTCTAAATAAGTACTGCTCTGCTGCCAAGTTACAGAATGGTAAGATCTTCAAAATATGCCTGTGCCAGCATCATATATTCTGTAATGTGCCATGAGCCCAAGAACATTTGCTTACATCAATGAAAAGAAGGAACAGGCTCAAGATTATTCACAAAGCCACAAAATACAGTCGTCATCAGTTGCAATTCTAACCCAAAGTAGAAATGCACCGCGGACAGAAAGACCTATTTACTTCAGATAAAATTCTTCCAAATGAAAAACGCCTCATCTTAAAAGTATTAATAAATAAATCTACACTGACAGTGATTTAGCAACATGCTCTGCGCTGACTTTGCTTTTGTCGTTTGTATAACTCTTCACCAATGCAGTAATAATAGACTGATTTATTTTACTAAATGCTTGCATAATAATAGTGGTATTATGCATGGCAATAAGCTTTCAAGATCTATTCAGCTTGTGATGTCAGTGTGTGGTCAAACTCAATGAGCGAGTTGCCTGAGGCTTCAAGTGGAGTGTGCAGCAGGAACAGCAAGTGCTATTTTCGCACATACACTATTCTTGTTTGCAGCACTATCAAATTTAGTTGCATCGATGTAAAGACATTCACGTATGCATAATTTTAAAATGATTTCACGGAGAACTGATTTTCTTATGGTCCTGTAGCGACTATGATTTTCACATTAATGTTTTGATAACAGACAGGCCCCATAATTGCAGGAATTGTAACTCCACACCAGTCTCACACCAACTCCAATACTCACCATGTGCAGACTGCGACAATCCACCAAAGCTGTCAACTGTTGCAAGCTGGTCTCGGTTGTGTTTAATACTATTTGAATCCGGTCCAAATACTCCTGTTAATGATACAAACAGCAATTATTTTCACAGGATAATGAGAATTTATAGCACAGTTGTGAGTCTCATGAGCTGGGGCTTATGAGGGAAATCTATTGCAACTGGTGATAAATAATGTTAATACTGAACAACAGCATGCCCAGTACAAATACAATTTCCCTACAACAAAGAAATAAACCAAAGTGTACATAGCTTATTTTTGTTTGTAAAGATTTATCTTGTTTGTGTTAATGTTCTCTGGCCTATACCCTTTGCATATAGTGAAAATTCAACAGACAAGCCGGTTTAGTTTGGTGCTCATCAATTACCAAGTTCCTTCTTAGTTAATGATATGCAAGATTTAACCATTCCTCAATAGCGCAGACACAGTCCCACTAGAACAGTAACTTACACAAAACAGATATTTCCTACCCCGATGAGAGGTAAATTTATTGAAGTTTTGGGTCTGCAGAATTATTTTGGGTTGTTTCAGGCTCAGTCCGGCTAAATTCAGATTCCAAATCCCAGTAGTCCGGTAAGACGGGGATTTACTGTGCAGATCAAAAGACCTCCACCACTGGCTAACCTCCCATAGTTAATTACTATAGTATACAAAGCAATTTCTCTCAATGCAACATTGGCAGAGTTAGCAGTAAATATTATAGCTGTTTTAGAAACTATACAGTAAAATCCCTAGGTGAGGGGTTAAGGCAGGCCTACCTTACTCTACTTTACTTACTCGAGAGGATGGGAATTCTCGTACAGCTGATTTCAGAAGCTCCGTTACATGATCTTGCATCTCCACCAGAGCTTTATGGCTACTTGAAAGTTTCTGCAGGAAAGAAAAAAAATTGAATAGGCTTTTTTTTTGCTTAATTTTTTGCTTAATTTTATAATCACTATTGCCCCGGGAGCAGTACGGTATTTCTCTCTTACAGGATTATTTACAAAACAACAAGGGTGCAATACAATGTTCAAATTCTATATAAATCTATGTTCATTTCATTTAAGATAAAGGTTCATTGTCTTGTCTCCTGATAATTACCATGTTGCATTCTAAACTGAGGTCGAGTAAAAGTAAACAATGAAAATCAAATGTTTAAGTTCTACGGTTGTTCATACAAGGGCAATTTTACCAAACTTTACAGTAATCTATTAGTTTCATCACAAAAACTACACTTTTTTTTTAAATTAAACTAACCCCGCCCATCCAAGTTAGTCGTAGCAACAAGATAAGTCAGTGAAAAATATACTCCATTTCAAGTTTGTAAAGCTAGTTTCATACTGTGATTAGATGGTCTTTTCTGGATATTCCCATAAATTGAGATTAAAACTAGAGAAAACTAATAACTAAAGATAAAAAAAACTTCCGTCATACAAAGGATGCTGATGGGTTAAACCAAATTCATCACTTATCTGCAATCTCCATCTGCAAATTATCTCAAACAATCAGATTGGAATAATAGCTCTTTGCCACTCAAAAACATGGAACATCCAACATCATATTCTGCTTCAAAATAATTATTTTAGATCAATAAAAGGCCTTTTGTCCCATCGTGTCTGTGCTGGCTTTTTGAAAGAGCAATCCATTCAGGCCTATTTACCTGCTTCACCCCATGCACAACTGCAAATTAATTATTTTTAAAGATAACTAGTTCCCTCCTGAAAATGAATATAGAATCCTGCCTCAATCACAACTCCCATCTAGACACGTATCAATCTTCTATTTTAAAAGATCTTCCTAAAAAGTAACAGACATCTTATAGCCAAGGCAGGAATTTAGGTGCACATCATCAGAAGACTGCAAGACACTGTGGCAATGACTCACCTGTTGAAAAGGATTAGGATACCCAATGTTACAAACCAGGTAGTAATTCAGAGTCTCTGCAAATAAGACAAAATTAAAACCCTTAAATCTTTCACACAGTCCTGTGGTAAACGCCTTCCACAAAGTTTAATTGACACTTCATATTAAATAGCTCTAAGCTTATTACTGAATGAAACAGGAAACTACACCAAATTACATTCACAACTAAAAGCCTTTTTTTTTTAAGATTAATGCTTAAAGAAATGAGGAAATAAGGAATATTCAATTATGACGAAGTTCTACATAATCTATACACCTCTAAATAAACCAATGTATTATTAAAATGTTGAATTTATTTTAACCTCGTCTGTTGTGCAATTTTCGATATCAGAGTTGAGGAGGATAAATAAAACGTATGTGCCCAATACATTGTTCAAAATGTTTTAGTTGTGCTGAAACATAATAAATTATTATAGTTTTTTGATAGTGAAGGGCCTATTTTGTTCCTGAGAAGTATAGGGCTTACAGACCCTGAGCAGACATGATCCAATTTAAACGCAAAAATTAGATAAAAATCAAGGAACAACAATCAAGCAATTGTTCAGTCAAGGTCACTGAATTCCTCAATGTAATTTGTATCCCAAATGTTTCCAGAGATGATGTTTTGAACAAGACACAGGAAATTCTCTCTGGTCGTCAGTAAATTGACAAATGAACAAATCTTGTTCTCCACTGTTTAGAATATTTCCCAACCTTGGGATTCTCCTCCTCCCTATTCTAGACTCAGTAAATCTAAGAAATGTACATATTTTCCATCATGAACCACGGCTGAACCTTCAAAGAACACAGCCCCAAAATGTTCTGGCAATATTTCCCGTGAGAACATTATAACCAGAAACCCAAATGAACTCTGCACCACCATAACAGAACTCAAACGAATAATATCAACACTCCAATCATTCTGCCACTCTACTACACAATACATAAAAAAAATAAAGCCAGGACAAAATTCATATTGACCGAAGTGAATCACAGAAAATAAATCAATCGTGACTTGATCAATGCTCCTGTCACTGGTACAAGTTGTGCAGCCTTGCTTTATTTGCATTTAGATATATTCCAACATTCAAAGAATTCTGTGCTATCACTCCTTTTCTTACACACCTCCCTTTGACAACAAATACCTATCCAATTCCCTCTTGAAATTGCCCACGCTACCCACCCACACAGGCAAAATTTTCATGTTAATCACATCCTACATAAAAGTAATTAAACCTAAACTTTCTATTCACCTTACCCATCTCAGTTTGAACCAATAACTCCTTGCTGTGGTGCTGCAGTATATTTCATCATGTGAGAGTGTAATTTATTTAGAACTCGGTCCCCGAACATGAAATAATTTGAACCAGCATCTCCCTATGTTTATAAACAAGTAATTTAAAGCATCCTATTATTCACTTTTAAAATATAAATTTCACGTCATGTAAATTCTAAACTCTGCAGATGTAATTTCTTCAATGTCATTCCTTAATACTTTGTAGCAGAATGATATAAATAGCTGGACCTTACAGAATATTTAACATTTACTGTGTTGTACCAAAAAGGGAGCCGTTTTTCTTTCTAATGGAGCACTGCTGTCTTGAATCATTTATACAATTCAATTTCCATTACTTATCTTCTTGTCTTGAATGAAGCACCATGGATAGGATACAGTATTTTATAACATCAATAAAATGTGATGTCTCCTCACTATTAACCGATCTAAAGATTGTGGCCGCTGTCATCTTAAACACTGCTGTAAGTTCCAACCAGATGTACAGATCATGCTGGATGATGCACGTGATTAAAGCACAGCACTTGAAGAACAGCAAGGTTATAATTCCGGACCCATGCTTGCTGACTAGTTTATAATTCATTAAACTTAGCGGAAGCTGCCTTAAACATCTGTTTTCCCCAGCGATTTACTGACCCGAATTAACAATTTGATTTGTTTGTGCTGTGCTTTGTACTCAGCCCCGAATCCAAATAATTGATAATCACTTAATTACTCTTTGAGGAGTGCAGGATTGCTACATAAATCAATTTTTTTTAAATAGTTCAATTTTATTCAAAGCACACAGTGAATATTCCAGGGGTTGGATTATCTTGAAGGCACTATCAGAACCTTACAGAAATCATTTTTGGATGCTTTCAATAATTGCCAAAAGCAAACAGTTCTTGGTCATTTGAGCTTCACAAGATGAATACTTTGAAAAGTGTTTATAGATTTGTTATATAGAGGTGCTTTTTAGAGCTAGCATTTATATCAATACAAGATGTATGCCCTATGGTACTTATGAACGTTTGCAAACGCACATAATGTTCAAACTGTAAACGTTTGGAATTGCATGATTTTTGTTCCCAAATAAATAATTGACATTGTCTCAAAAGCCTGCAGGAGACAACATTCTGCCTCACTGCAGCTGGAGCAGATTTCTATGATGGTACATTTGCATCAAATGTATGGGTGGGGTATTATTCGAGCTTGATGAATGTAGCTCACATATTAGTACAAAACAGAGGGTTTGACTCTGAACACAGGAACAATCATAAAAGGATGTATATATTTATTAAGTCGCACATTAATAGACTTAATTTGGGGAGGAAAATGTAAACATTTCATTATTAATGGACTCTCTTCAGATGCTATTCGTACATAAGCAAACAAATTATGTGTGTGATTGAATTGGCTTTGGCACTGTTTTACTGGAGGCAGCACTACTTGGTCTAAGTCTCACAATGGGAGGAACTCCTGCCATAAATGATTATCTTTACTGTCTGACATTGCCATGCTCCTATTAATAGCATAAAACAAAAATCTGCAAACTCAGCCCTCATAAAAATTTAAACTCAAAAGTTAACTCTTCGAAAGCAGAAGTTAAATAACTGTACCAAATAGCTTACTTTTATAAAACTAGTCAATACATTTTCCAGTGAATCTGGTGAAGCACCTTGGGACATCCTCCAGACATGAAAGGAGCTATATCAAATGCAAGGATAATTATTATATAATACACCTGACAATTCAACCTCCCTAATCAACACAAAAAAAGTAACAAATACTGAATTATCTGAGTTATTGAATTTATTATCTCATAAGTGTTGGAAGTTACAATTCGCAGTTGGCTGCATTCCAAAGAAACTACTGTATATTAATTTTAATGGAGCCCATCACTTCCAAATGGCCTGAGGACCAACCCAGAGTACCCTACCCCAGAGAGAATGGAATGTCTCCAGACGCATGTAGCCTCTTCCCAAAGCTAAGTTGAGTTGAGAAGGTCTATGATCCCCAATCCAATTCTATTTCCACATTCAAGCACCTTACCTCTAAAGATAACCTCATTCTCCTCTGCCATTTTGGAGACGTATACATCAGGAGAGACACAGAAATCACTGGAACCCTGGTTAAAATATGAAAAAACAATTAATAAATTGTGGACTTAACCAATAGTTAATGAGACTGTGCACCAGTAGGAAATGAATGATGGCTAATCTCTTGACACCAAAAAGACAAGTCAAGTCTGACCAATTCATCCACCCAACATTGGCCTTGGATACAAAGGCGATGATCCACAACAGTGAGCCTGCAATATTATAATACAATTATGTGGTTATCCCAGCTGTCACCCTATCTTTTCATATTAACTGAAGGCAAGTGTGTTTCAGTAACTGTCATCATATGTATTGTAAACAATATCAGGCTATAAGTACCGTTTCCAAGAACACACTGCATCATATGTCACCAGGACAAACTGTGTAAAAATAAGATTTTTTTTAATAATGAATATATTTTCCCATTGGATTTTCTCTTGAAGTGACAACTCTTAGTGCAGCTTGGTTTTAAAGGCTGCGAGCCCTACATTACATTCCTGCCTGAGTAGCCATACTTTGCAATGTTGGTTTGCAAATTGCAACTAGCCTTAAGCAGTCTGATTGAAAATTCTTCCAGCCACCGTAATTATGATCTCTCGCGCGCCTCTTTCTTATTCCCGAGTGCATTAGTAAGAACAACCAATGCATATAGGGATAAATAAACTGACAGTTACATCTGTGAGGCAAGATTCTCTACCACATGGGAACAGAAGGGGTCGAGTGGAAGACAGACATTGTTCCAAATGATGTTTTCCCCACATCCAACCTGACAGTAGGGAATCACTACAATGGAACAAGGAAGATGCAAATGACAAAAAACAGACGGTGGAAGGCATACAATTTTAATCGAAATATCTGTCATGCTTTAATACTGGGACACCTCTTTAGAATGCTGTCGGCTGGGTCGAATATCCCACCAACCAAGTAATGTGAGGCATCAAGAAATGGCCAACTTCCAGCTCCTACAATGCTACACATAGAAAGTAGGAAATTACATCAGTGCTGACGGAACACACCAGAATTTCGCAATTTTTTGGCACAGTAAGCCAGCTAGTTAGTTCTAGAAGCTGAGTGTAACATGCTTTCAGTTAGCGCTAAGCAAGTTAACACTGTATTGAAAGGCACTATAGTGGGATTCCTTTGTATAAGCCATCAACAAGTTTGTATAAGTCATCAACAATCTATTATTGGAAACACATTTTAAATCAAAGTATAAGGGACATTTGAACGGTGCATATATCTGGTCGCAATTTAATGTAGAATTCAATTAATCGCAGATGGTCAATGGAAGGGGGTGGTTGGGGAAAAAAGAACATCTGAAAGTTCCTTTCTCCTAAGTATTTTCCATTCTGGTAGTTACATACAATCTGTGCACGTTATCTGCATTAGAGGCACATGTGAATAACTCACCACTGAAACTGCCAGTTCCAGACCCAATGATGTCCAACTGATAATCAAAGTCATCACTCCCAGGAGAGCAGCACTATGCACAGAGAGGAGACAATCAGCACAAGTGCATGAAAAGCCATCCTTCAGGAAAGGCTGTACAATACCGGTTTTACAGTGGAACATCTACACACAGTGGAAAATCTAAACAAGGAAGTGCTTTGTAATAACATCTTCACATTGCAAATCCAAGCACTAAAAGATGAGCCTTTGTAAAAAGTTATTTTCAAGTTGCAAAAAAATCATCTTGCAATACAAAGTTGCTGCTTCTAATAGCTAGTCATATGCAGCTATTTGCTAGGATTCCACAGAAACGCAACTTTTTCAGAACACCATATTTTCCACAGATACAGTTCTACAGTTCATAAAAAACAGGAACATTCAAAGAAAAGCAATATAGTCACAGATCTGGTCTTGATGTATCAATACTACTGTTCTTTCTCCTCCAAATGCTCTCAACATTCTGCTCAAGCAGCAAAAAAGTAATCTCCTACATGCTGTTCTTCCACTTGGTGCAATGAATTTTGATTTTAAAAACATTACCCGCTGTAACTCGTTCTCATACAACTGGGCTCTATAATTCTCTTGCTCTACATTTATTCTCAACAACAAACCTTTCAGAAATATTCAGTTCTCAAAGCATGTGAAGCAACAAAAATGTGGATTAACAACATGCAAACTTCACATTACTACATTGGAGAGGTACTTTCACTAGATTTTATCAATTCACCTCTACACATTGAGAAATCGATTTCTTGAATCAAAACTGCCCAGAGGAATGAGATGAACACTCTTTAAAATGACAAACTGTCAATACTGCCTGGCTGAGGAAGGAATAGTTGAAAATGTACAGTAAATTAATTTCAAACTTTCCATTTAGCCTCTCAAAAGTGATTTTAATGGAAGTGCACGTTTAATAGTGCTTGAATTATGATTCAACCAAGTTATTGTGGAATCACAAAGCTTTCAATCTCAAGAGAGTGGAGGAAAACACTAAAAACAATGTCAAGTTTGCAGTTTTGCAATCAATGTATGACAAGCTTTATCATAGCATCAAAAAGAAATGTGCACTTGTGAATTAATTTTATTTCTGTGAACTGCAATCCATTTAGATATAAAATTGATATTTTAGGTCTATGATGCATCAACCAGTTCTCAATATCGTACCACCATAATCCTAAATTAAACTGGTCAAAAATAAGCCATCTGCATCTTACTGGTTCAAATAAGATACATAATCTTGAGACTTATTTATCGACAGATCTAATATTGTAAAAAATGCAAGTCAGTACATCATAGGACAGATACCGTAGTGGTACGTGGTTACTGATACATTGAAAACACTATTGACAGAGCAGCTTTTTCACTGGTCATGAATGACATTTAATATCATGCCGAAGACAAGCTCAGAAAATGGAAAAGGTAGTCAGATCTTTTAATCTCTTCTCCACATACCACAACCCCTCCCTCATACGTCTCCTATACCATGCGTATGAGTGTAGGATGGTAATACGATCTCACGATACTAGGCTCAAGAGAAGAACTAAGCAGCCTAGTTACAGATCTCTGAAAATGTACTTAAAGTATTCTGTTTGAAATGTAAAGAAGGTATAAACATAGAATACTCTTAAGAGTTATGCATACTGCAATAAAAGAAAACTAAAAAAAGGAGCTGAACAACTAAAATGACTCAAAAGGGACAAGTAATTAATTCTAAAATACATTTCTCTTCAAAGTTCTGATGCTTAGCACCACAGGTCATATCTTAACTGTGCAAGGAAACAAGTGGGCTGCACTGTAACCAACAGTCTGCAAGAGTGACTCAGTAATAGGGATCAAAACAATTTACTTTACTCCTCATGGCCAGAGCAACTCTCGCCCCATAAGAATATTGCCACTTAACTTCTTAAGTGCATTTATTCAAAATATATAAAAAGCAACACTTACCAAATAAGGATTCCCTTTGAATTTCGGATCAGTCCAAACAGCACCAGAAGACAGATAAGAACATCGAAGAGCAGTAGGCCAAGGTATCCTAGCCACCTATACACAAAAAATATTGAAAGGATTCAGCGTTCTACCGTTATCAATCTCCCTTTAATTCTGCAGATATGGCTTACTGGAGTAGTATATTCCACATTTACAGTGCTTTTCATAATGAAACATCTTCTGGTGTTACTTTTAACCACTGTAGCTCCAATGAATGGTGGGTCATTCGGTTAATCTAGAACAATCTGTTAAAAACAGTTGTGTTTTGTTTGAGCATTTCTGTAGCATCGCTTCACCAATAGAATATATAACAAGACGACAGTAATATTCAGAGCACACTATAAATTGACAAATTCACAGAATTTATAGAAAACCATTTCTATTTCACAATTATGAAAAAATTAAAGAAACAGTAAATGAGCATTCAAAGGGTTACTTGAATTTGATGATGAAAGGAATTGGGAAAGCCATAAAATAATTTCATAGAGTGCAGTCACACTCAACAGCAGCTGACATTATTTTGCAATAACAATTATTTAACAGTTGCCACTTAACTATATTGATTAAAACATTTTACTTTTTGCTGTGATGTAAACAGAGTAATGTTTATGCCACTGTCAACCATTCTTTATTGCCAATTTTTCTTGACCTTAAGATTCAAGAGCTTACAATTCCAAAGAATGAAACCATTCAGATAAGACCATCTGCTAGAATTAAAAGCTACATCATCCTTTCCTTGAAACACTCGGCATAGAATTGGATGAAATCTGCCTACCTTCATGGACAAACAAGCAGGCACAAAGGCTGCACTGTACCAGTATTGAAAAGAAGACCTAATCTGAAGATAAAATGTCCCTTTTCATATTTGGTGAAAACACCACAGAGAGTTTGCAAGTTATTCTTAATGATATTTTTGTATTTATGAAAGCGCCAGATAATTTTAAAGCAGCCAAGATTCTGACAAGAGGAGCCTCATTAAGATTTGGTGCAATCCTAACAAATTACACAAATTATTGAAATGATGATCTACTGCACAAAGAAAAGGCTGTTTGCAAATTTCCATTCTGGCCTGGAAGCTGATGTCAAATAACAATAAACATTTGTTTTTAATGAAAATGACAAGGTTTTAACCTATTAAAGTTATCAAAGTGTTTTCAGACACATCAGCACTACAGATTTGTCCCTTTTAAAATCTCATCACAGAAATGTCTTTCTTGCACTGAATCACTGACAATTAGCAAAAGAGGAGAGAGATAGAGACTTCAGCATTAGTCACAGGGAGGAACAATGGAGTGAATCATTTGTTCGTCCAGCTTGGCATGCAATAATGGAAGAATGCATATAAAAATCAGAGCAAGCAAAGAACAAACCAAGCTTGAAACAAACAAATGCAAGTTGAAAGATAAGAAACAAAAACCTTAAAGTTAGAAATAATTAGAAAGAATTTAAGATTGGTAGACTGGTAGAAACAAAATAAAAAATAATTGTTAAAATTCCAGGGTGCTCCTTGTGGTGTTCAGCTTGTGGTAAAATCATCATGGTACACCCCTCCATCAAAAAAGCAAACCCTCTATTATTATCAGCAACGATATTATCAGATTTTAAGGATGCATACCTGTAATAGTCATACAGCTCTGTGTGGACCGCTAGATCTTCCAAAGATAGATCACTGTTTTCCCAAAATGGAATTTCGGTCAGCTGTCTGACTAGCTCATCAAGCCGACCTTTTGACTTTTGCACTTTCTCTAGATAACGTGGTTGCCTTGTGAACAAGTCCTCCAATGCCCGGAGGCTTACATCGACTGTCCGATTTAGATCCTGAGTGCTCTCCGACACCTATAAGCAAGCAGAGAGCACTGTTTTAGTGTCAGTCCTCAAATCTTTGTGATTTATATTGCATGTGTATTGTACGACAGAAAGAAGACAGCACAATAAGCCAACAATAGGACATATTAGCAGTGGGGGGGTGGGGGGGGTGAATAATGTATATTGACACAAAGCTAAAAATCAAAAATGACCTGAAGGTTTGACTACAAATAAAAATTGTACTCGATTAGATTTATTGCATTTTCCCCTACAAATAGTCTACATGGGCAGGACGCCAAATTTTGGTTACTTCTGATGTTTAAACTTGGTATTATTGCACGTTATTTCTTCCGCTCCCCCAATAAGGCAACATTTCAGAACAGTCAAAGATTTTGGGGGCAGTTATAAAAAATGGCTCTAAACTACTTTGGAATCAGAACACCATGACATCAGTGCTAGGAAGCGGATGCACCCTGTGGGGAATTTCTTTGGCTAGAATCATTGGAATGCACCCGCTTCACTATTTCACACAACCAAAGGTTTAACTTCAGGGCTCTGTGGTGAAGTCTGTAAGAAAGGCTTTTGTTTTAAAAATACAACTTGTCAGAGTAACACTGATCCTTTTCTTCTTTCAAGTAGCGATGCTGGCTCATGCTTGCTTCTTAAAACCAAGCAATTCGTCAACAATTTAATGAGTTTTATGCTAAATAAATATTCTGAGATGTGCGCATTTGCTCCCATTGCCGGAAAAGCATGCTAGGGTGTTGCCTTCATGATAAACACTAACAAGATCATATTTAGAGATTGCAAGATTTCAGACAATCAAAAATATTTCATATAATGATATCAACACATTCACGTGGAAAATTAAATTGGAGTGTGGGCAACGTCCTTTGTTAAGTCTTGATGACTGAAGTATTATTTGGTATATTGTCACCATACTTTAAAGAGCTTTTAAAGCAACCAAATGCAATAAGAATTAATAAATAGTAATCCTTTCATTTGATATAACGCCTTTCATGTCAGGAGGCCATCTCGAAACGTTTCACAGGATATCCTGCAAAGTACAGTATTTTGCAAGCAACTATTTTTTATTCCAATGCATTATACTAATCGCAGGACTGCAAAATTGAATTATTATGCCAACACATCTGAGTTTTTTTTAAAAAGATTAAAGGATATATTGTAAAACAACATTCAACCTATCGTTTGTTATACGTGTGTTATACTCATTGCCCAATGGAGAATGAACTCCAACTCCACAACAACTTTGCTCTTTTCTTAGGACCTATTAGATCATTAATCTTCATACCTTTCTCAAATTCCCTTCCTTACTGAACTGGCTCTGATCTCCATTTGCTGTAATGCATCCACAGCCTTGCAAAATCCACACAATATGGAACATTATATGGAGCATGCATGCAAATAAAAAGAAATTTCCTAAAATTACAGTTCGGAAATGTTATTCAGTTGAACAGAAGCCTCACTAAAAATATTTGTACTGTGCAAAGAATCTACTCTAAAAAGAGGAACTGGGGGAAAAAAGCTCAGTCATCAAGGACTGGGCTTTCACCAACATAGTACAGGGGCCATAAGGAAACCGACTTTTTAAAATATGCAAACGTTCTCACGAAAGAAAAGATGCTACCAAACTGCTGAATGTTCACTTTAACTGCAGTCAAATACAGAAGTAATGGGTTGGCTGAAGGAAAGTCATTCACAACATCTTAGTCCATGAGCAGTGACATTTTGAACTATCCACAAGGGATATTTGAAATTACAAGTGAATGAGAAACATCCAATGACCTAGAAACCCCTTGATACTTTCTGCATTACTTCTATTTACTGCTATCTTGGTACTTTTAATATCCACTATTGACCTATATTTTCTCTTTTGCCCCTTCGACCACTCATATAAAAAAGATTTCACAATCATATAAAATCAATTTCAGGCACTCGTATAAAAATCACATAGATTCACCACTGCTGCACAACATTTTATAACTGCTTTATTACCATTGCTGTACACAAGATCACAACATTTCTTCGGATGAAGAAGGCCTTTGGCCCATCTGGTCTTATGTTTCTAGAACCTCCCGCTGCATCTAGAATATAGCTAGTAGGCAACCAGATCCCAAACCTCTCTCATGTAATATCAGCCCACTTCACAACTCATTACAAGATTGATGACTGTTAGCTCCTTAGGTTTCTAATAACACAGGAAAATATTGGATCTTAAGTTTCTATTAATACAGCAGACAACATTTGACATCCACCATTGGGTTCATAAAAGAATGGATTTTTTTTTGTCAGTCTCCAAGAGACCGAATTCTGGAAAGTCAGGTTTCCTGAAATGGACAACTATTATAAGCCGACACTCACCAGGTACTCAACCCCTGCTATAGTGCGATTTGCATGTCGCATTGAATAAGTTAGCCTGAAGATTCCATCACTGGTCTCACCATTCCCATAGAAACCAACAGCAATCCCGGCACTGAAAGAAAAAGAGAGATCCATTAGATTGAATCAATCTGTACAAACAGGTTTGGTTTGAGAAGCAGAGCCTGTTTGCCAGTTCCAGTTTGGATTACATCAGACCATCCAGAGTGCCAACTCCACAACAACAACTTGCACTTACATAGCGCAGAATAGATCTCAGAACGCTTACTCCAACTCCACTCTGCTCTTAGTCAGACATGCCACCTTTGAGCCAGCCAGTCTCAGAGATACTTAGTTTACCTCCATTCTCTATTGACCAGTGTGAGATTTTATTTCCATCATCATGCTTGGTTATGTCTCTCTATAGTGAGATTGTAAATTTATGCCAATCTGAAGTGGCATTCTGTACTTGTGAAACTGTGTCACTCGAAACTTCAAGATCTTGAGATTTAGTACAAAAGACTTTAACCTGTATTAGAACCATTAAAGCCCAAATACTTCAAACTGGCTTCTGATTTATATCCTGAAACCTGCTTACCCAATCTCTGACTATTTTACCCCTTAAAAAGTGTCAAATCTATATACTATGGTGATACGAATACGGGTTTCAGCTGACATTTCGTGACCCCAACCCGATAACAAATTTTAAATCATGACCACTAATATTCTTTTAAATTAGATTCAAAATTTTGCTCCTTACACTATTAAATTGCTTTGAGCCGTACGTGCAAATAAAGCAGCTGTGGCTGCCAGACATTCAGTTCCACCGGGACCAGGCATAATGAGCTTCATTAGTGCCTGCTTGGGATACAACTACACACGGAGCCTTAAATTGGGAAAGAGTAAAGCACAAGCTCCTGCCAGTCTCAAAGTTTCAAAGCACCACAGTATCCAATCGCATGCCAAAACAGAAAACACAGCATGTTATTCAATAAATTGACCATACCGAATATCAACTTTGACTTCAAGCATTTTCATCTAGGACTACACGAAATGTGGCCTCCTAAAGTATTAATAATCTGAGAGCTAGGAGGAAAGACAGGTCAAAATATATTTAACATATGCTGAATTTGTTTTGCTTTCTCTTAACTGCTGCACTTCATGATAATATTCAGCACAAAGGGAAAGTCAGGATAGAATTCAGTATGATTTGATTGTACACTAGAACCAAAAAGATAGTCAATAATATTATTTTCTGATCCTGCAGCTTGTTTTAAAAGTAACAACTTTTAAAACAACTCATTAAAATTCAATCTAATAACCAAAGGGATTTTTTTCATTTATTTTTGTTTTCTTTTGGCTCCCCACCACTGTCCAACATTGCTTGAATAAGGAGGGGGAAAAAATCTCCGACAATCCCCCTACTGCGTACATGTTTGCAGGATGAACTTTAATCGTGCAACTTTTAATAGTTTACCAAAGAGGAATGAGTTTGGAGGATATAATGTTTCCCTCCTGGCTAAAAGGACTTTGAGTACATAAAGCACTGATGAACTGCTTGAGCAATTTAGGTCACTTAAAACAATCAATTAGGATTGCAGTCTTAAAAATTATTCTCTTTTCGCATACCTTATAAACCAATACTTTTAATTTTAAAAAATCAAAATACTGTACAAGTGACGGAGTCTATCTTAAATCTAGAATGTAGGAAGTCAACTGGTGAAAGATTGAAAGTAACCAATATTAACCTGGTACACGTAAGAGAGTCAATTGCATTCGCATACTGTAGTCATCTCTTAATGCCTGTTAAATACCGCACCATTGATCACACTAGCCCTAGAGAACAGTTAAGTTTAGAGAGCTTTAACACAGCTGCGCTCTGGATAAATACAACACACTAAAGACCAAATCAAGAGAAAGCATTCTTGGATTTACATCACACATGAACTTTAGATAAAGGTGGCAAGAAGCAAACTGATACATTCCAAACCACAGGTGTCTATTTTCATTCCATTTGTTTGATTGCCATACATGGTGGTGCAAAGTATTAATTCCATGACTCCAGGCACAACATCTGACCAAACATGTAATTCATATACTTCTTTGTATATGGAGAGTTTGAATGTTCCTGGAGATTAATAAAAGGATTAGCAGCAGGACTGAACTCATTCTTCACACTCTGGAGTAACATTCTCTTGGCTGGATCACCACAATAACTTGGCTGCAGCGAATCCATATGAAAATTGTTCCCAAACCACACTGGTCTGCACATACTTCTGGCCACAGGGACATATTGTGAGCTTGACATTCAGAGATTATTATTTTCCACCCAGTAACAGACTGCTGTAGGATATCTTGTGAGCAGTTGTCAATGTTCTACCAAAAGCCTTGTGCACAATCCCTGAAACATTTACAAGCTTAGTTTCAGCAAAACCACTGAGTGATTGACAACTAATTCAGAGGAAGGTTTGCTCAGACGCATGCTCTGGATTAGAGTTGACAGACACAAAGCTGTTCAAAAATATCAGGTTGCTTGCAGGACTTCCAAATGTGTTTTAACACTTACTACCAAATACTTCCCAATTAATGAGGTCCAAAACAAGAATGCTTCAGGTTCAATTACAGTACTTTGACTTGTCAATATATTACATTTCGGTATATAAATAATTTTGACTAATGGTTTCAGCAGCAGAGTAATCTGTCAAACTACAGCAAAGAGTTAGATTGATTCTATAATTGCTCAATGCAGTAAGAGATCTATCATGCCAACCCAAATATACAGCGCAACAGTAGAAGTGACCATATTTGTCAAATATTACTTATATTTATGGTTGTCTTTTCCAGTGACAATGCTTCATTATTTTCAAGTGTGGATATCAGTTCAGACTATCGTATCATTCCAAAGCTGATCTATGTGACCTCCTGTGTTGAAGTGTTCAAAAACACATCTTCATTTCCTTCCAAAAAATTTCACATCACTACTGGCTGCAAATAGGTGGCTAACACTCACCTATTTGCAACCAGTACAAATGTACTCCTAGTACAAGTGTGACCTGTTTGATAGTTTTCAGTCCTATCCCCTCCCACCCCCACACACCAGAAATTATGAGGATGTGCTTGCTTTCTCTCAACAAATATGGCCCAAATTAGGGACCTGTGCATAAAAATATCAGCATAAAAACAGGTTTGTATCACACTTGGCAAAGGATTTAAGAACAAATCACCATGCAGTCATATGACCTCAAATAAAAAAGTCATTTATTGTTGATCAGACACAGAAAAATGTTCAAATCCTTAGCAAAACTTCTCACAAAGAAACAATGATTCTATACAGAATGAATTATCCTCACCTGCAAACAAGTGTTGCTATGATGACACACCATGCTGTACAACAACAGTCTGCGTTTGGCTGATCTTCACTCTTCCGTCGGCAGCAAAGCCAGAAGGAATAGAAGAGGAGGAAGAGGAGGTTGAGTGCAAGGCAAACCAGAGCAATGCCACCGATCAGCAAGAGTGACTGTGGGGTAAAAAGAAAACATTATTATCATATGGATATAATATGGATGATATTATAATATTATGCATATAATATGACAAACTTCAGTTATCCGTTTTAGCAATATCTTGATAGCAATAACATTTACAATGTATAACAAAAATATTACTAATGAAAATACTCAGTGACTTGTTTGAATCTATCGGAAACAATAATAGTGCAGAACATATCACACTTCTAATCTAAATAAAGTGTTTGGGGGTAGAGAATTGCCTGATTAATATGAATTAGCTTGTTCTCAGTTATTTTAAGAAGCAATGTCACTGGAAAAAGACAACAAGTAACTCAGAAAGTGCACGATAAATAAGGTGGGCCTTATTCATCCAGAAACTCCAAGGTCTGTAAGAGAATCAATTTTCACCAGTACCTTGTCAATACGACTGTTGCAGTGAAGCCATCTTTTCTGTCCAATATAGAAAAACTGCAGTATCAACCAACTGTACTGTCCAGAATATGAAAGTGCCCTTTCCCCCCTACCCCACATTTTGATCCTTATCCTGGAGTAGTATTTAAAAAAATCCTCAGCATATAAGATTTTTGCTAATAAAATATTTATGAGGTGGAACTAATCTTTGACATCAATTAAATAGAGGCTGCAATTTTAACATGTTCAATCTGTACAGAGAACTTTCTCTGTAGTTACATACATTATACTATCCCAGGTTATTCCTTAATTAATTCAGTAAACATTCAGTAGTAGTGCAAAAAGGTATATAGTAACTGCAACATCATCCTCAACTCAGGCTGCTTCAGTGAATGTCAGCCTAATGACATGGTGACTGACAAAGGGTCCCTCAGTTTACGTGCAATAGTCACAGCGCCAGCACTTCAATATACAATGCAGGATTTGCGGTCACACTGTAAAGTCTGATTCTGGAATAGCTGATTCTGGAATACCTACAACATCTTGATTCTACCAGGTGGTCATATTCATTTACACAGCAGCAGACACTATAGCTGTCACACTACAAACTTCTGCAGCTTTGCTAAAATATTCTGTGCATCTTTGGTACAATTAGTCATTATATTACTAAATTATAGATGCAATTAACTTTTTGTTGATGTGAATCTCCAAACACTTAACAGAAGTTACTGCCAAGTGCAATGACTTTTTGTGGTCTAGTGGTAGCAGTTATTTTTGAGAACTACAACATTCCACAAGAATAAGCCTCAGTCCATACCTGAGGCTTGAACCCACAACCTACTAACACAAGTGCAACCAACAGCTAGGCTGTTACTTTAAGACTCCACAAAAAAGGAGAGATTCCAAATCCTAGATTCTAACCATTAAAAAAGTTGGAATTAGGTCAGTGGATAAAACAATCACAGGAAACACCGGGTCCTGGTCTCACCACAAAAAGTGAAACCCAGCCTTGAAGTAGAAACAAACCATTGTGTTATACTGGTTATTACAAACATGCTTCCAGGAAAGGAAATGAAGAAGCATGACCACCTATGTAAATGCACCATCTGTGCAATATCTTCTGTGAAATATGAACAAAAGCCTTGGATGATGTAAAAAACCCAACACAAACACAGCTTTCCTGCCAAATTCCATTGAGCTTAACACAGTAGTGAAATAAACAAACATTTGTGAGAATATTAATATATTATGTTGAATACAAGGACCACTTGACAGAAATAAATTCCATATCTAGAGTTTCTAAACTTTGATTTTCGCAATCCTTCAGTAGTTCCAATTGGTTGTTTACAGAGCTATTGTAAGTGATTTGGTTTCTGACCAAATTGGTTTTACTTGCCCTTGCTCACCTCCGTACCTCCCTTACCAGGGCATTGCAGAAACAGAAGCCATCCTCACAAGGCTCCACTGGTTCCTTATTTCCCAACTCACTGACTCCATTGCTCTCATTCTGATGTTCAAATGTCTCTACATGCTCACCCCTCCCTCTGATGTCATGGCTTAATATACTGTGCAAGCTTGACAATTTTACTAGGTTATACATGTGAAATCCTTTACACATGGCACTATTTATGCTGTGGCGGAATATGAATGTTAATTGTAGCTCACATTTGACAAAAAGGCACATTGATTTTGAAAGCTACAAGGAAAATTCAACAGCCTCTCTCGCCAGATGATGACTGTGTACTGTAGCAGCTTTTGGCTTGGTTTCTCAGACTCAATAGAAAATGCCTCGTATTTGATATTCTATACTGTAGTTTAAATAGGAAATCCTGGTCATTTGGGATTGCTCAATTGTATGCACACTCAAATAGCAAGAACAGATGTCATGTCTGCCCAATTCAATCTGTAGAACTGGCCTGGACCAAAATGTTATTTCTGCAGCTCTCTACAGGACTAATCCTTTTCCATCACTAGGATGCTGCATGGCTTAAATAGTGCACCATTATACTGCTGGAAGGGATTTGAAATTGCTTCCAGCAGTGAAATGATTAAGAGTAAGAAATTGCATTTAGATTTCCTGTTCTGGAATGACATATTATTTGCATCTATATTCCAGTATATAAACTGCTTCACAATTTCATGCTTGCTAACACAAACTATTTTCAGCACTGATTCAATATGATTTTTGTGTCAGTTCATACGTCATCAAAAGAATCATCCTATCTGTCTTTAAAAATCACTTCCAGCAAAAGATGGACAATTATTTCAGAGCCACAGATTACAGCAATGCTGCACTGATCCATCAGCCACAAGAATCTTCTCAGCACAATAGAAAACTTACACTTATATAGCGCCCTCCACGCAGGGTAGCGTCTCAGAGCGCCTGACTCCGAGCTGGGGGGGGGGGGAGGGGGGAAGGAGAGAGGTGGACGTAAGCACGGTCGAACAGGTAGGTTTTCAGGGGGTGCTTGAAGAAGGGGAGAGAGGGGGCAAGGCGGAGGGATTGAGGGAGAGTGTTCCAGAGGTCATGCATTTTTATTTGCAGAACCATTCCATTCCAGAACAGAGGAAATACAAACTCCACAAATATAGATATACAGAATATAGTGTTTCAGTAGATTACAGATATGTTTATTTCACACCAACCTGAAACAACTTGGTTTACGTGTAATTAGCATTCATTTTCAAATAAAATCTGCAACCTCTACTGTTCTTCTAGTCCCATCATTTTGATACTGGACCCATTTCATGGAATTTCATCTATAGGTGTAAGTTTTTCATTTTAAAATCACCTGGGTCAAGTAACAAATAACCTTGCAGCTGATTTACATTGATGACTGTCACAGAGTTAAGGTCACTTGAACTGTAACAGTTAGAAATAATCAAAGGATCATCACTGAGAGTTGACATTATGAAGTATTCAACTGAATCTGTGGGTTGCTTCAGCTGCTAACTGACAGTCATTCAACTATTTTAGTGAGCCTCTTTCACACAAAGCTCAGTTCTATAAATTGTTCTTTATCTTTATGTGGGTAGAAGAGTTCCTGTTAACAAGGGGCGGTATAAACTGAGCTCAGAGAAATGCAACACCTCACAGGAGGATTGGATAATGGAAAACAGATGACTGGATAAAATATGGGTTATTATTTTTCTCTGAACTATTCATCAACTCCTGTACGTGTACTTTTCACATCTTAGGTGCAAAGCATGCAGAATGAAAAGCAAATGGTACCGACTATTTTAGTTTCACAATCCATCAATAATCTATCACCTTCAAATGAAACAGAAGTTATGATTTGTTTTCCTTTCTTCCATCCTCCCCCCACCCACCACCCCCTGGCTTTGATGTACAGTCTAGGTTATAATCCTGCATCAAAACAGAACAAAGCAGTTATTCTTTATAAACTCCAGACTGATGTGTGATACAGTCTATGAACAAAGGGACCTCTGTATATTTAGAAGCAAAGCAACTGTAGCTCGGTAGCTACATTAGGAGTATTGGCTCTCAAAGACAGTCAGAGATCAGAGGTCAAATCCCAGCTTTAAACCCACATTTGTAAAAGATCTTCATCAGGTTGCCAGGGAGAACGAAGGAAAAAATAGCAGTGGGGTTTCTTTCTGCACTAGTCAAATGTGTTCCTTGTGGATTGGCCAAGCAGTGACATTTGTGAACAATATGACAATCAGACAACTGTGCAATGAATTTTAAAAACTTATAAAGATGCAGAGAAACAAGAAAAAAAGTTTTCGCAAACCTGTAATTAATTGGAGTTTAATGTTTGAATTGAACACAAGAACTAAATATACATTCCTGACCTTTGTGATCCCAAATGCTTAAGCATCGTGTTTCTCTAAACAAACACATATGGCTTTTATGAATGAAGGGAATCTAACTGGCCCAAGGATTATCTTTACGAATCATATGATAGGAATGTTAATCAAGACTATTGAAGCTCATAACAGGAGTAGACACTGCTTGAAGGAGTTTAGGATCCATCACAAAAGATATGTTCATTCCCATTCTACCCTGGCTTCAAACTCAGAACTATCCAGAAGTGGAAAGGACAGTTCACTAAAACACAACAGTCTTAGACTTTCAACAACAAGAGCACTGCACCCCTGTGGAATTGTTTTAATATATTAAATCATAACCTCCATATTCAGTATGGTTATTAGTTATCTTGTCACTGCTGTTTCTCAATATCATCACCATCAAATCTAGCATCAAGGCCCTCAAGATATGGTCAATGAATCAGCAATTTATAGAATACAAAAAAAGTTTCCAAAAGCCAGGAGAATTAATTGACAAACCATATCAAAGAGAATGTAATACAGACAAGTTTCCAGAAACTAATTGAAGAGTCAATATTAAGCTGCTTTCATTGATGGCTCTCCACACAAAAAAAAGAAGAAAGTATTATATAATAGTTAACGACTGATGTTTCACAGATGATTTGTCAGAAAGCTCAAAGTCCAAAACTATCTACTAGTTATCAAACAAGCTTGCCTGTGTAACCATGAAAGTAAGTTTTCAGTATCAAAGTATCCTCTCAAAAACATGGATTGGATCATCACTGTTCCTATATTCCACTGCTAG